AATAAAGGTATAGAATGTAGAATGCAAAGATACAACTGAGAGGATCATCATTGCCAAGAAGGAACATGAGAATCTAAAGGATGGCCTGAGGGCATCACTGGAGGTGGAAGGTCTCTACCCTTTCTAGCCTCAGAATTGAAGGTGAGGGACTTTGCCTTGAGGGGAAAGCCTCAGAGCCCCATGTTCCAGAATGGCAGCACTGGCCTCACCAGGTTCCAGAATGGCACCAGCATAAAGAATTTATTCCTTAGAATTAGGGCAAGACTGCTCAGCGATTCAGATACTCGACCCACACAGTCAAGAGATAAGGAAGCCTAGCTACTGCCCCAGCTGGCAGCAGATCTTGGCACCATCCACATGGTGTTGGTATTAGGTGTATTAAGAAAGCATGAGTTCAGAAGTTAGGAAAGCCTGGGAGGTCAGGCAGTGTGCCCTGGGAGAGCAGTATGTAAACCTGTGAATGAGAAGGCAATTCTGTGAAAACCTCAGAAGCTAGAAAAAGTCAGGAATGTGGATCATCTCAGGGAAAATGCAAGGAGGAAGTAAAGCTGTCCTAAGAGGAACTATGGAAGCTACCACGAAAAGTGCCATAGGGGTGGAGCCATGGAAAGCCTTGAGCTGAGAATGCATAACAAATTGCTTCACATATTCCACATGGAATTATAAGACTTAATATTGGCCCTTCTGAATTTTGGACTTGCTTTGGTCCCAATGCTTAGTATCCTACTGTGTGTACCTTTGGAATGGTAATGTTTGTTTTGTGCCACTCAATTTTGGAAGTGTTTAACTTTTCTTTTGTATAGTGGCTCACAGCTAAGAGTTTGCCTTAGATTTTGGAGGAGACTAGGCTTGGACTCATCAGAAATGCTGAAACTGTTCTGACTTGGAAAAACTCTTAGAGATGGACTAAAATGTGCATGAGTTTTTGGGGTTTCAAGGCTGGAATGTTATGGTTTGTGTCTAGTTCTCCCCTCAAAGCCTCATGCAGTCATGGAACGGGGACTTATAGAGTATGAGATTAATTCATGATCAAGGCTGGGATTATGGGTCTTATTACTACTGGATAATTGGTGTGAGTATTACACAAAGCCTGGAGCAGAGAGCCTGAATGCAATTAACAGGAGACAGATTTGTTCTCTGCAGCCATTGTTGTCACTACTCTTTCCGTTTGCTCATGCTGTTTTTGCTTGTGCTGTTTTGCTGTCTTCAGCCACTATGAACTGCTGCCCTCTGCCATGGAGCCAGCCTAGTATGGACTGTGAGCTAAATAAACCTTCCCTTCCTTTATTTTGGGTGCTGGGTATTTGTCCAAGCAACAAGAAAAGAGTAACTGAAACAGTTTGTTGGTATACAAAAATAAAATAATTTCTCAGTATTGACTTTAGTATCCGCCATAGTCTTACATTTATTTTTTAATTCTAAAAGTCTTTTAGTGGAGTTTTTGGAGTCTTCTATGTAAAGTATCACATCATCTGTGAATAATGATAATTTTACTTCTTCCTTTCATATCCTTATTACTTTTAATTTTTTTCTCATCTTATTGATCTGTTTCCAGAACCATATTGAATAGGAGTGCTGACAGTGGGCATCCTTATCTCATTCCTGATTTTAGAGTGAAAGCTTTCAGTTTTAACCATTTAGTATGATGATAGCTGTTGGTTTGTCAACATGGCTTTTTTCAGATTGAGGTAAAGAGCATTTATTCTAACTTTCTTTAAGTTTTTTAGCATCAAGATTTACATAGATATTGGGAAATGGGAAGCAACTGTTCAAAAGGAAAGACAAACCAGGGACTGGGAAAGAAGAGAAGAAAGAAAAGAAAAGGAAAAATAAGTAAATATAAACACATGATAGTAAGATAGTTGTACTACTAACTTCTATTAGTTCAGTGAGAAAGACGTGCTTATATTGTTTGATCAATTTTTCATGTCTGTATCTTATAATCTGAGTAACTACTTGAAAATAATAAGCAATGCACTATCATTGTTACTCTCCTATCTTGTTTTGAAAATGTGTGTCATTGTTTTATTTTTTTCTCTTTGAAACAAAACAAAAAGAGTCAATTGTCCTCACTTGTAATATTAAACATTATAACACCAGGCAAAAGTCTTTTAGGTATTGTTTTGGATTTCCACCTTTTCCCTTGTTAATGGAAAGTCAGGAAAAAAGGAAACATTATCACATAGTACCTATTCGCATAACTACAATCTCTAATATTGTAGAACTATGAATTGTTAAGAACTGCTGTTAGTGATCCTTAATCCATTCTTGAAAATAACAGTAAATGGGTGTTTGGTTCATGTGCAGATATGAACTGAAAAAAATGATGAAGAACCACAAACAAGGGAGAAAAAGCAAATGTTTTAATATGTAGCTTAGAAACTATCAAGCTGAGTATGTCTTATTATCTATTGTATACCAAAAAAGAGTAATGAATAATTTTTCATAGAAATAAATGAACAAAACTATATAAAAAGACCTGTGTGTTAAAATGGAACTTCCCTTCTCAAGACTATTATCAGCTAAACTGGAACAGAGACAGCAACGTGGCAATGATTAACTAGCTGACAGAGATATTATTCATAGCAGGTATATAAATAGTTTTGATAGCAATGCTGGTGGACTCTACTCATCAAGCAAGTTTGCCAGTATAGACTGGATGCAAAAGACACAAAAATTATAAAATCTAGAGCCAGCTAAGGGAAGCTTCAATGTAATCCATCTCCAATTTTAAATATTTACGGAAATCTAGACAGAACCAGTTTTCCCTTAGGATTGGCACATATCATGTTTGCAGAATGTTGAGCAACATTTACCTATACTTAATCTTACTATGCAGATCAATAATCCTCAGATTCTTAACTAAAAATTCCCAACATGACATTACTTGGCAAAAATCTGTATTGATAGGGAGAACAATGGTATCATTACATGAAAAGATGGGCAGAGTGAGTTCATTTCACTGAGTACATTATATGTGTTTTTATCATGCATAATCAAAGAACAACAACAACAAAAAACACAACACAAAAGAGGTCATTGTGCTATTATTCAGTTGGCAGCTTTTTCATGTAATATGAAAATAAAAAAAAACCTGAGTCATAATCCTGCTCAGTACCATTTCATGTAACATTTAAATGAATAGTTAAGTATTTGTGTTAGAAAAATCCTCGTATTTATGAAGATGCAAAAATATGCAAGATACTTTTATCTTTCAAAATATATATTTCTCATTTTAGCCAATAGTTTATAAGAAAGAAAATGTATCACTTTATTTATATACAGTTTTCTTAATAAAGCATCAAAAGTATATTTGAAAAAGCAAATACCTATATTAAAATCTTTCTCTGTAAAGAATTTTCTCTCTCCTTTTCCTCTTTTTTCTTCTCCATCTTTCTGGTTCTATAAATTAATTACTTTACTAAGTAATTATAATTGTAATATCTAAAATATTCAACACCAAGTGAATTAGGTGACCACACATGCAATGAAAAACTATACATGCAATCAAAATTTATACATAGTATAAATTTTATACCACTGGATTTCTTAAAACACTCATATCCATATGCAGTAACCAGATCCTTAGAAAGGTAAATTTATTTCTGTAACAAGCTCAACATTTCCTTTAATTTGGCACAATAAAAATAAATATTGGCTGGCAAAAGAGACAAAAAATAGGAGTATATTTATATCTATAATACCCAGTAGTAAAACAACAGGCAAAATGTGCCAAATTGTACTGCCAAAATACAACTACATGTATGGATGTGAAAACCTAAGTAAAAAGAGAATTATGGTTACCTACCTTAAGAAACAGCTGATCAGGTATGAGGTTTATGAGTATATCTTTAGTACCTCAGTAACTTAAAATATTATAGAGTATTAATTTTTCATCAAGTTGTCATTTTCTCTGACATTTGGTTTTATTAATCAAGGCATTTATCATTAATTTGTAGAAAATATCATAATTAAGCCAAATAAAATAAAATCCTTAACAGGTTAAAAATAGAAAACAGGTGAAGTAGAACTTCGATGATACCCTGTTGACATACACAGCTTTTAGGCTGTATGGGAATCAAGTTTTTTCAGAGTTCGGTCCCTCAGTCTTGGGGCTGGCTGTTTTGTAAAAAATGTTATAAAGATTTGATTTAAAGCTCTCTGACAGTTTTGACATTCAGGTGAAAGTACTGCTGCTGCATTTGGAACAATTTGCATATCCCACTGCTAAATGCAATGTTTGAGGTGTGCACTGGTGTAAAGAAATTAAAAACAAGCTATCACACATGCTTAAGTGTATGTATTCACAAAACTGATGGCTGAATCGTATCCACCCTATCCCCCTCCAATGTAAACTATGATTTTTTCTTCTATAATAAATTATGCTACCATGTTATTCTTGCTAGAAAATCTAACCATGCATGTAAAAGAAAAGTAATTACACCTCCCTCTTGTCTAAGAAATCTACTTCAAGCTCTATGAGCTCATTATATACAATTTAACAACACAAGTCCATTGTCAATTTCTTGCTTAAAATTTTGGACTTCTGACTATCAGTTTCCATTAAATGTCATCTGAACAGTTTTGTTGTCCCCAATAAATACTTGTAGTAAGGTGTGAATGTATTTCTAAGGAGAAATGTGTACTTTCTTTCTTCCTTTGAGCAATTATGTCTACTTAAGGAAAAACAAGTTATATCATCAGAAGAATTCCAAGCTAAAAAATGGGTGAGGGAAATACAAAACACTCCTACACAGAAGAAGGGGTATAACACCATGTAATTAGGGTGAAATAGTCTGATATAACCAAAGATTTCCTTTCTTTTACTTATAACTGAAATTATTTTTGGCTTATACATATAAACATATTTAATATGTTCAAAGGTAATAAAAATGACCCATTATAGTAAATTCATGAAGCATTTTGAGAAGATTAGAACCTATTCAAGAAAACACTAGACTTTACGTTTAGCTTTCACACCCTGAAAGGGAAATTTTTTTGTTCGTTTCAGCAGCACATATACTAAAATTGGAACAATACAGAGAAGATTAGCATGGCCACTGAGCAACGATGACACACATACTAATAATGAAGCATTCCATATTTTTAAATTAATATTAAAAAGGGAAATTCTTAGTACTTCTTTTTATGAACCTAAAACAATACTTAAAATTATAAAACTATCAAGGAAACAATTGGCAGTTCCATCATTACTTTATGATTCAACATGAGGAATAGATAGCTGAGTTCGGACATTTCGACTAATATCAATAGTGTTTTGTTTTGTTTTGTTTTGTTTTTTCAGAAACAGTGATTAAACTCAGGCCCTTGTGCTTGCCAGGCAAGCATTTATTCTGCAGAGCTATCTCCCTAATCTCTAATATAAAGTTTTTTAAAAGAAATGCTAACACATTTGGATGTATATGTGGAGTACAATATATTCATACATATTTAACCTAAATCAGTAACATTTTTCAGAAAGAGGGATAGTAGCATATTATTAGAGGTTTCAAAATTTATATTAATAATGTTGACATTTATATTCTCATATTTTAACAAAGTTAATCCCAAATATATTTATATCATTTATTTACCTTTTTTTTTTTTTTTTTTTTTTTTTTTTTTTTTTTTTTTTTTTTTTTGGTGGAACCGGGGATTGAACTCAGGCCATTGCACTTGCCAGGGAAGTGCTTATTCCACTGAGCCATATCCCCAGGCCAATTTACATAATTTTATTCAAAAGATTCCTTAAAAAAGATCTACAATGTAAAATACACTGACATTTTGTATACAATGATAAGATACAGAACCTATTCTCAAAATATTAAGCAAAGTTAAGCTATTTGCATAAGAACAAATAATGAAAAAATATAAAATCATGGGTAGAAATAAGGAGGCAGAGGATAAGGTTCAACTTGAACTAACTTACGGCAACTAAGTCACTGATATTAGAACTCTGATTTTTATTTCATGTCTTAGCAGCAAAGATAATAGCAGGGTGCTATCCAATTGGAGGTAAAGACACCAAACAAATAGACAATCATTACCCAATTGTTTTCTAACTAATGAACTGCATGCTATAGAATGAACACTAAGACTAGGAGGTACTTATCACACAGCTTTGTGAGGTGCCTTGAAGACAACTTGATGAGGATGACTACAAAAAATATAAAAAGAACTGTGCTATTAGAAATTGAGTTTGATATATACGTCCTTGGAAATTGACATCTAAATGTAAACCTTATAGGAGGGCCCAGAAACCAGACAGAACAGTGACACAGTAGGATCCCAACTAAGGTGCAAGGGATGGACAGGTAGGACTAGTGGCAAAAAAAATTCAAAGCAACAGTGACAATACTAGCCAATAGGTGGTAAGTTTTAAGAATGATTCTTGTGATTGGGGATAAAGACAAGGGAATAGAAGCAGGTAGGCAGAACACTCTCTACTTTTTAAATTTTTTTCTGTTTTATTTACTTTTCCATTTGTGCTTTCTCTTTTCTTATTTTTTCCCTCTAAATGATAGGTGAAAACTCCAAGCAGAAAAAACCGGTCCCATCCACAAGACTGAGAGACCAAGTTCAGATAATCCATAGGTTATAACCACATTTTTTCTCTTTTGTCTTCTCTTATAAAGAAACCCAAAGTGTGCATAATCATTCTATGCTCCAGCTGTGTTTCTACTTTCTTTTCAGTTATCTTTGTTTTATCCACTATCCTTCTTAAATCTCCCCAACAAAGGGTAAAACTGCTCTACCAAGAGAAAACACCCTGAATACCAGATCCAAATTTATAATCAGTTTGGGTATATAATTTTAGAATTTGCTTCTACAGCTTGAGGTACAAAATTAATACCTTCCACAGTTTGTCAGCTTCTAAACTGTGCTGGATGCTATTTCTTCGCCAAATGTACTATTTTGAGAAGCCTAGGGTAATATTCTCACTACGGTCCAGCACACAATAATGGGACTGAGCCACACATATATCAACATCTCAATCTTAATTAAGATTGAGAGTAGGATCTTAGAACAGAAACAAGCTAATAAACTCTCACACACAGAAGACATAACTGAGGAACAGAATTTTCCTAGAGAGGATTTGATACTAGTCATACAGCTACCCAGTACAAAGAAAAAAAGAGAAAAAATAAAAATTCTTACATAGAAAATGACAATATTGGGGCCGGGGAGATAGATAGTTCAGTAGAATAAGTGCTTCCCTGGCAAGCACAAGGGTCTGATTTCAATCCCATTTCTGGAAAAAAAAAAAAAAAAAAAAAAAAAAAAGAAAGAAAGAAAGAAAGAAAGAAAGAAGGAAAGAAAGAAAGAAAATAAATAAATGACAATGTGCAGAAGGAAGATGAAATCATAGGCCACCAGCGCACCCAGAACAAGTCCAGGATACAATAACATAGAGGAAAAAGGAAAACAGACATCTGAAAGTTCTTAAATGACAGCAAGCAAACTAAAGAAATAATTCATTAGGCTACAGAGCTAATAACATCTCAAGTAAAAAGAAGTAATAAAAACATTTATAAAGGAATTCCTCAGTAAATTTAGAATAGTTAGATTAAAAAACTGATGATGTGATAGGAAGAGTATGCAAGCTTTAAGTTACGAATATATGAAATAAATAAATTACATGCATTCAAACAGATATCATAGAAATTAAAAATTTCATACAATATTGGAAAAACTGCTTGAAGGAAACTTAAGACTGCCAGACATTGAACAGAATCACAAATAGCAATTGTGAAAGGAAAGATCTCCAAAATATAAGAAGAAAAAAAATAACGAACTACGGAATAACAATTTAACAGCTGAAAGAAGATGCAAATAAAGACAATATAAGAGGTGTCAATGAACGAGCAAGAGTCAACAGAAATGACATAAAAGACTCTTTGCAGAAATAATAGCAGAAAAATTGTCAAACATGAGACCACAACATGACAGACAACTACATGAGGCATACAGAACTTCAGTTATCTATGACCAAAATAAATCTACACACAGAAATATAGAATCAAGATCCCAGAAATTCAGCACAAAGACAGATTATTAAAAGCTGTTAGCAAAATGTAACAGATTACCTATAAAAGAGAGAACATCACAATTAGAGCAGGCATCTCAAAATAAAACATAATATCAAGAAGAGCTTAGAGTGAAGTATTTTAAGTCCTAAAAGAAAACAAAAACAAAAAAACAAAAATCTTCTAACTCAAACTTATGTACCCTGCAAAATTATCTTTTAAAATTGCACAGAAATAAGATACTTCCATGACAAAGAATGAAGAAATTCATGGCAACCAAACTAATCTTATAAAGACTACTGAAAGATATTCTAGAAAGAGATAAAAATGAACACAATGACAAGAACAAGAATATAAGTCCACCCAGCAGGGCAAGCAATTTAACAATGGGAAAAGGCAGGGAGGCAACAGTAGAAAACATTATTACAAAGATAAGAAAAAGCATATCAGTTATTACCATCAATGTAAATGATCTCAATTCACCACTACAAAGAAACACTGGCAGAAAGAACCAAGAAACAAGATCTAGCCATATGGTAACATACAAGAAATACATTTAACTCAAAAAATAAAATCACAGCTTGAAAGTCAAAGGATGGAAAATAATCTTGCATGCAACAGTAACCCAGAAAGAAAAAAAAATGGGTAGCTATTTGGTTGTAGAGAATGTAATATGAGCCTCAAGACAGGAAAGATCAAAAGACATAAAGAAGGTCATTATATACTTGTTAGGGGAAAGTTTCAAGAAGTAGAGAAGACAAGCATACATACATATGCACCAATCATAGAAGCACCCAACTACACAAAATAAATATCAATAGACGTGAAAAATCAAATAAGCAATATCACAATTGTATTGGGGACTTTAAAACTGCACTGTTACCAAGAGATAGACCAACTAAACAAAGAAATAGCAGAACTAAACAAAACTTGTGAACAAATGAACTGAGTAGACATTTACAGTGTTCCACCCAGTATCATCAGAGTACACATTGTTCTCAGCTACCCATGGGATGTTTTCTAAAATAAATCATATACTATGCCAAAATACATACTCATGTAAATGCAAAAGAATTGTAATTATCACTTGGATACTCTCTGATCATAGTGCAATGAAATTAGAAGTTACTGACAAAAAAATTAAAACTTCTATAAATGTATGGAAATTAAATAATACAGTCCTGAACAATCAATGGGTCACAGGTGAAATTAAACAACAAGTTACGCATTATCTCAAAAAAAAAAAAAAAAAGGAGATACAAAATACTGGAATTTATGGTATATAGTGGAAGCAGCCCTAACAGGAAAATTTATCCTGATGATGTATGACATCAGATAAAAAGAAAAACCTAATACTGCATCTCAAGCTTCTATAAAAAGGAGAGCAAGACAGACCCAAAACCCATACAAGGCAGAAAATTATTAAGATTAGATCAGAATTTAACATGAGGTGCCTTGGGCCCTCCATATCCAACCAACAACAGGCCCTGCGAGTGTGGGGGAGAGCTTCTGCTTGGTCTTGTGCCTGCCTGCCTCATGAGAGGCGTTTTCCAGCATTCTCTACACCACCCCCGCCTGGCCAGACCCAGCACAGCCCTCCATCTAAGTAAAAACTTCCACTGCGCTCTTGGAAGTCCTACAGACACACCAAAACACAACACTGCTGAGTGTGTGGGAGAGCTAATGCTCTCTCTCGCCCCTGTTCCTCATACCCCTCCAGACACAGCCAGAACTAGCATACAAGCTTGGGTTAAAACCCTGCAGCTAAAGTCCCTGCAGTGAGACTGGGGTCAAAACCACACAGCTAATCCAGGAACAGAACATCTTACCAGAGGGGTACAGCAGGCCCATCTCCAAGGGCAACAACAGTAAGGAGCTGAGCACAGTAATCAAACCCAAGCCAGGCACAACTGCATGAACTAGAACATGGTATACCAGTATCTGAATTTCATTAAGTGATAAGGACATAATAGCACCAAAGCTCTACACCAAAGACTAGAGGTCAGTGCTATACGAAATGATAAAGACATGGAGCAAAATGCAATCTCAGTCCTCAAGCCAATCATAACAAGCACAGAGGA